TTTGCTTTTTAGCCCTGTTTGGTGTCCATTGTTTAATTTTTTTATTTTTGCTGGTTATAGCATCATTTTCAATCACATTTATATGTTAAAATATTTTACATGTAAATTCAAAATTTTTCTTCCCTTTTTAGAGCACGAGTTTTGGCTCTTCAAAGGTACATAATCAAATATACTCTCTATTTTTTAAAGTTAAAGTATAGAGCTATTGGAGCGTAATTTAAAGGTGCTTTTTAAAATAAAGAGTATTTCATTTTAAAAGAGTCTTGACAATGTTCTTAAAGTAGATTGGACGATAATATATATTTAAACTTTTTATATATGTTTGGATAGAAATTTATAGACGGTTTAGTTAAAGTCAAACATTAATTTTAATTATATATTCATAGCTAATATTCATTATTATTCACACATTTCACATCATCACTACTATTTCTCTTATTATTTCTACTTATAAATCATTTAAAGATTTACTAAAAAATTACCGAACACAATAATATCTCAAACGTGTATCTCTATAGTTTAGACAATTTACAAAATATGTAATGAATATGAGGTGAATTAAAAAATATTAAAATTTTTGGTAAGTATTTTAAAATTACAACATAAATCAGCGCTTAAGATAAGTATTGAAAATATAGTCTATGTAATTTTTTTGGCAAAATATTTTGCATATTATAATGTATATAATTTCATTATAATGATTGTAATTTACACTCTTTTTATTCAAAATTAAAATGTTTCTGATCTTTTTAAATTATAACTCGCGAACTATATTACATTCATATTAGATTCGAGATGTTTATGTGTAATTCATATTACAAATTGTCTAACAATATCTCACATACCAATTTAAAATTTTTCAAATCGAATTGACGTCATGAGACGACATAACTCAAGGACATGGATGGAGTTTGATGACATTTAATTATAAGACAAAAAAATTTCAAAGAAAGTAGAGCAAATAAGAAAGATGATCCCATTGACAAGAATACACATTTAGTATGTATATAGACATAATAAATAGTAATATTTTGAGAAATGGTTCAGTATTTGAAATATTGAAAATTGAAATATCTTGATAAGACAAGTATTTATGAGAAAATATGGAATCGAAAAGAGAAAGTCGTTGACATCAATTTTGTGCATATCATATTAGAAGAAATAAAAGTTTATTGGCTAGTGATTGCTAGCCCCAAATTCTTTCTGAAGGGGACAACATGAATTACGGGAAGATATTGAAGAAAATTATAAAAGAATATACCAATGTAAAAAATAATTGACTACATAAATAAAAGTAATTTATTTAAAATCGAACTTATTAGAGAAACTAAGTTTTTGGTCTTGCACGACTTTTAACGTAATAAATTTTGAAATAACTTACATAAATAGATAATTATCTTGTGGTGGATATAATCACAAATATATTTTTACCCTGTCAATGTATAAAATTTGATTTGCATCTATTATTATAGTTATAACCAACTCATTTTATGTGACCATTAATACTATTTATATAAATTCTTGAATGATGTAAAATAATCGAAGCATATAGTTCAACTGATATTATTATGAAGAGAGTAAATACATATTGTAAATTTTTTCCTTATCAATTGTTTTGTCTAATTGAATTTTCTTGTACATTTTTTCCTCTTATCAAATGAATAATGTACTATTTTTCTTTTTCTAGCATTTTTTTAACCGCATGTTTCCTAGAGTAAGTTTTTAACCTTACGAGATACTCCTTTTGTAATGAATGTTCATATCATATAAGACACATATATACATTCAATATAGTTTTAAGCTTTTACTCTTATATGTTATAAGATGTATAGAAGATTCTCGATGAAAGCAACAAAAAATTTATTTTTCGACATACCATGTTGAATGAAGTCAAACAAGGATATATGCATATAATGTATGAAGATAATACATATTGTATTACACAATTCGAAGAGACCATATC